AATCACATTAAAGAAGCACAATCTGTTGTATAATCATATTCTATCAGAAGCATGCTTTTATAAAACTCCACATTCTCTGAATAAAATGTATTTTATTCAATAAAATGTTTTATTCAAATTTCTTTACTAAATTGCAAATAGAATTTTAGACGACTAAAGAAGAAACATCGTATTTTATTTTCAAAGAGTTTTTAAATTGTAAAGACATACAAGATTATGCTCAACACTGTAAAATTATAATTAAAAAAATTAAATTTTAAAAAATAAACAACAATTTCTGCTTCTAAATTAGAGATGCAACAAACAAATATTTGGTATTTAGCCTATACTGCTGAACGCAGAATATTCATTTCGGAAGAATAATAGAAGAATCGTCTGCCGAAGACAAAACTGAATTCGTTTCCATCTTTCTTGTTTTCAGCCCTGGAAAGGGTTTATTCAATTAACAAAATAATAATGAAGATAAAGAAATTTGTGAAGGGTCCGATTAAAAGAAAAATCATTTTGTGAAGGGTCCGTTTTTAAATTAAAATATTTTGTGAAGGGTCCTTTTTTATGAAAAGATATTTTGTGAAGGGTCCGCTAACGGACCCAAATTTATTCTAAACAGACCCCTGATGATACAAATTAAAAAAATTTTGAAACTAGTAGTTGAGGTGTTATGAGAGGCTGTTTTGTTTTTTCAATCAAAATATAAGGTGAAATTGATGATGTTCTTTAATATTACAAAGGCATTATCCAGCCGAATTAACCTAAATACGCCTATCTTGCTAAGAGATTTTTGTTTGCGTTGTCTCCGTATTTACTGTGCTAACATTTTTATATTTGTTTTTATTACCTCCGGAAAGAAAAATTCTTATTGTTTCTATCATTTCTGTAACGATGTGTTTTAAAAAGAATAATAACACACGGGCATTCTTTAGTCGAATTAACCTAAACACACTTATCTTGCTAAGAGACTTTTGTCTGGGTCGACATCATATTTGCTGTGTTAACTTTTTTATAATGGTGCTTTTATTATCCCCAGAAAGAAAAAAAAGAATCTTATTGTTTCTGTTAGCTCTGAGAAGAACTGTCGTTAAAAGAGTGTATATTTAAAATAATATTGTAAACATGAACTTGGACATTGTTTCAATGCTCCTATAATTATTAATATATAAATGATTATTTTAAGAACTAATGTTCTAAAAGTTTTTGGCTCAGATGTATTTTTTTTATTATATGTATGATATACTAATAAATAAGGCCGGGATAGCCTGGTCGGTAGGGCGCTGGGCCCATGTTCGAGAATCTGTGGGTTCGAACCCCGCCGGCTGAAGACTCCCCGTGTAGTAAAGTGACTGATGCACATTAAATTTGTCGAGTCGTAAAAGTCCTCCATGTTCCCATAACAAATCAATACCTCGGGGGGTACTGGATTGGAGATCGATCGTTCTCTGATTCAGGTCAAAATTACGATCTGTGGATGAATGAATGGATGTATGAATGGGTCCGCCCTATAAACGGGTGTGACGTACGGTGTGCGAGAAGTCGAATTCTTGGCCATAGATGGCGCCACTGGAAAACAAGAATAATCGTACCTCCTCTGCAAAAACAGGCATACGTCAACAACAAACACTAATAAATCAATCAAAAATATTAACTTTTGGCCAAGATAAAGCATTAGTGTATTCATATGTTAATATTGGCAGCAGTATAAAATTCAGAAATTTTGTGCAGTAAATTATTATCACTATAAATTAAAAAATAAATATTTTTTTCAAATAAAACTGAACTGTATCTTAACTGAATTCCAATATAATGTTTAATTAATTTTTTAGTAAAATCAAATTTTTCTTTGTACTTACTTGCTAATTATTTAAATTGTTTTATAAATTCATTTCAGGTTGATGCTCTTAAATATTCATCACTCTCAGTATTGAAAAGGTTTATCCTAAATGATGAAAATTTGGAAATTAAAATCATTGGCAGAGGTTTACCTCCTGGAGGAGGGGGAGAAGTTTTGTTTCGTTGTCCTGTGGTCAACTACGTTCGTCCCCTTAAATGCCTTGATGCTGGAAAGATTAGAAGAATAAGAGGATATGCATATTCTGTGCGTGTATCTCCTGCTATGGCCAGTCGCATGGTTGATGCATCAAAAGGACTTTTACTAAAATTTTTGCCTGATGTGTATATTTATACAGATCACTTTAAAGGAAAAAATTCTGGAAAGTTAGTAATTTACCATTAAATTACATTTTCAGTCCTTGTGAAAACCATTATTTTTACAGCTAATCTTTGGTGATACATCATAAACAAAATTACTTAGGAACTTTATATGCTGCATTATCTTTCTTCAATAGTTCTCAAAAAGTAACCTCCAGTACGCACAAACAGAAAAAAATTTCATGAACCATCATCAGATTTATGGTCAGCTGATTTAAAAATAAGTCAAGAAATAAAAAGAAAATCATTAATTTTTGGAGATATTTAACATTATTTATTTATTATAATTATTATTATTTTTTTTGTGAAATGTGAGACTTAAGAGTTTTGCCTTTGTTTGAAAATTTTATGCCTCATAATTAAGGTGGGATTGAAATTTAGTAATCATCTGTTTTATTTTTACTTTTGTCAAAACACCGATTGTCAGATAATATAATGATATGTTATTAATAAGAATTACATTTTTTGAGAAGGTTATATATTTTCAGAATGTTATTTTAAAAAAGTATATTTTTCTTGTACAGGTAATCATCATGTTGCATTTATTTAAATTCTTTAATAAATGATTTATTTTATTGTTTCTTTAACATTTATTTCCCATTAGAAACCTTTTTTTCCCATATGTTATGATATAAAAACTTTTGTGTAAAAACATTAAGAACAGGAATTTATTTACAAAATCTTATTTACATTATTTCATCTAATGCTTATCCTAATGGTATATTGATAATAATTTATTTTACCATAGTTTAAGATATTAGTTTTTTGTTTTACATGTGAAGTTTTACTGCTTGAAATATTACAAAATACCTAAGTTTATTATAGCTCTATTAAAGAGATACTGTTCATATTCATTTACTTTTTACTTTGTTTTTTTTTTATACAATATTTCACAATCAGTTGTTTAATCATTCTATAATATTAACAGATCTCCTGGCTATGGTTTAACATTAGTTGCTGAAACTACAACTGGTGTATTTTATTGTGCTGAAGCTATTTCTAACCCAACTGGTTCTGGAGATTTCATTGTTCCAGAAGATGTTGCCAAACAAGCTTGTTATAACCTTTTCGAGGAAATATATAGAGTGAGTATATTATTTCTTAATTTAATGTGCTTGAGAATTATGAAGTAGTCACATGACCTGGAACATGTCTGAAGGTAGGGAAAAATGTTGATATTCAATGTAAACTGTGACTTTGTACACTTTGAGTCTTTTATTTAATGATTTTTTTGTCACTGTTTGAACTAAAAAATTTGGAATGAGAATATGAAATAATTGTTTGTTTTTTGAGAAAAGTGTTTGCTTGAAATATTTGATAAATAATGCTTTACTTACTTTTTTTTCTTCTCTTTTATATCAGTTCAGTTACAATTCCAAATGTTTTTTCTTTTTAAATTAAATAATCTACATTGTTGATTATTGAAATAATTATAAAATAGTACTATTATTTTTACATTATGTTAGCAGTATTTAATGAAATTAGGGTTATGTGTGTAGATTATTTTAGGCATTTAAAATAATCTTTTTTTGGACAATCACAAAGCTTCTAGAGGAATTATGAATAAATACAAAGTTTTCCATAATCATTGCTTCTTGATACAATATTTAAAGAATCCTGGTAAAAAAGGATGAAAAAAAAGTTTAGGATTAAAAAAAAGTATAGTGACATATTAGGTATTACAAATATTGAACTAATTACTAATGAGGAAGTTAGGACTGAAAATATTAAAACCTGTTTGATTATCTATTGTGGAGTTTGAAAGGGGTTATTAAAAACACCTCCGATTTTCACTGACCAGACAATCAAACTGTTATGTTTTTCATTGTGTTTTCCTCTCCAATGATTTTACTGGATTTGATAGTTTTGTCTCTTCCTTTTTAAATATTAATGTGTGACACCTGATCTATAAATTTTTCTATCTAGGATTTTTAAAATTATATCTTAAGAGTAGGAATTATGAAACACCTTGTATTTGTGTTATTAAGCCAGATTTGGTCAATCATAAACTTTTATTGATCTTATAGATAATTATTCATTATCTGTTATTATTTGTTATCTGGGTTCATTAAAATAAATAGGTATGCCAAGTTTCTACAAACATGTGTTTGTGCTTTTTTGACACAATTTTCAATAATTTCTTGGTCCCAATGAATGGGATTCATATTTTAAATATCCGATTGTAATTATTATTTTTTATTATTCCTTTGTATTTTGGATATTCTGGGCTAATTATTTTTGTGTATTTAAGAATTGCATTAGTTATTTTTAAAAAATGAATATTACTCTTTACAAAAATTCTAATTTGATATATAAATTTGTTTCTTTTAGGCATTATTAAATTACTATTCTTATGCTGGACTTAAGTTCAATAAAATTTCTTATATTTAACTTTGTAATTTAGTTTTTAACTAAGATACCAGACATTGTTATTATTTTTCTTTTTAATGGGCTAATTTAATAAATGTACATGTAAAATTTTGAATGGGATTTTACACACTTTTGTGTCCCTACTTTATTGCATGAAAGACTCTAGAATAACAAGTGAAAAGAACAAAAGCTCTTTTTCATTTGTTGTTTATTTTATTTATGTTTCTATAAAGATTATTCTGTAGTATTTTACATTTACTTAGATTAAAACTATAAAATTTGCAATTATTCCATTTAAAGCATATATTTTAATTACATTATTAATATTTTAATAATATTTTAATAATCTATTAACTTAAATTTTAGAGTACTATACTGATATAGAGAATGATATACTTGAATTTGTTAATCTTATATATTTTTTTAATTGAACATAGCAATTTTGTTGTTAAGGAACAATTTTGAATGATTAAAGAATGAACAATTTTGTTGTTAAATAAGTGTTAAAATTAAAATTCAATAATGCGAATTATAATTATTTTCTTAGTTTATCCTTTAACTGTCTGTCTCAATCACAGTTTGGGGTATGTTTAGTTTCTTGTATGATTTTTGATGGGGATACTGTGTTAGACAGGAATAGTATTATTTAAATTTGTTTAATAGTTTAATTAAATAAAGGGTTAATAAACTATGTAATAAGTATAAAGCAAAACAATGCAAATAAAGCACAGAAAAAAGTTATTTTTTATTACCGTTTTATACATAATATTTGTGCTATATTCAATTTGCATGTCCTCTTCTGTATTTTTTATTTGTGCTTTGTTTAAGTTGTGTTTGCTTTATTCTACGTATTACAAGTATGACACCCAGTCTGGCCTCTATGCATCACCCAGGAGTTTGCCTTGAATCACTCGGCCTCCTCTGACTTGATTTCTTGCCACCCATCATCACCAAGCTTTCATTAAGTGTCCTGCTCTCTTACTTAAGCAGTTGCATGCATGCACTTCGGTTTATCAGTAATCATTGAATGCTCCCTATCGGGGGGCAAATTGGGGTTAAGCTTCACTTATTCTACACAGTACAAAGTTTATCATATCCTCTTTTGTAAATGTTATAAGTAATTTTGTTAAATTTTTTATTCTATGTTTATAGGGTGGATGTATAGATTCAGATAATCAAAGCCTAGTATGTCTACTTATAGCACTTGGTACTACTGATGTTTCCAAAATTAAAATTGGACCACTGTCTCCTTATACGTAAGAAATATTCTGAACCTACATTTATATCAAACATTCTTTTCATTTCTAGAGTTTTTGAAAGAAAAAAATAAATAACATTTTCTTTCTGAGACATTCTTTGGAAAAAAAAATCGATTGCTAACTAATTGTTATAAATGAAACTAGTTTGAATTTTCAATTCTTAGAAATTAATAATATGTATCTATCTAAATATAATCATTAATAATATCTTTTTCTGAATTCTTTTTCACAGCTTGTACCTTGACATTGTGTATGCATTAGGTTATTTTTACACTTTGAGTTAGCATATTTAGACTAATTTTTCAAGTAGCACAAAGAAGATTTGAACTTATCAAAAATCTTTTGATAATTGTAATACTGGTCCGTTAAGCATTTTAAAAAATATTAAGTTTTAATTTTCATGATCATAAAAAGTTGTTATGAAAACTTGTAAATTAGTTAAATTTATGAAAGCAATTCTTTTAGTAGATATTGTTAGATATTCGAGATTCGATAAGTCTAGTTAGAATTCACTAAAAATAAAAATAATAAATAAGAAAAACTCTAACTCCATACTATATTATTTTAACTACAAATTTTCATCCAAGCTTTTAAACAATAAAAAAACAGATTTTATTAAAAAGCATGATTCTTAAATTTCATCTTCTATTTTGATCTTGAATCATATTCATTTGACTAAGTATCATAATTCTTGACTAAAATCGTTAATTTTGCTCACTCATCTTGTTGTAGTTTTGCAATGGCCTTATGGAATGAAGGATTCAGTAGATGAAAGTTCTGAGTCAAATTTTTTTTTTAAAAATATAGTTTTGGAAGTCTCTTTAGACTTAGTTTACTGTACAACATTATGCTATTTTGTCAAGTTTTTAAATTTCGCAATTTTCAGAAAACATTAAGAGGCAATCATTTAGTATTTTTACAGTGAGAGAAAGCTCCGATCACATTTTTTCAGCAAACTGTCTACAACTAATTATAGAAAATCTATCATTTAGCAGCAAATAAAAATGTCAAAAATGTGAATTGTTTAACACAGTCAGTTAAATGAGTGTGAAGAGTTCATAAGTTTCACAAATTTAGAAGCTTACAAATAAGAAATAAAGTGAGGCATGGACTTGTCAATTTTCCATGCATCTGTTGAATTTTGCATTTTTTGCCTCAATTCTGTCATAATCTTTTTAAATTTTGGTAATAACTGGGAGCTATCCACCAAATTGTTCAGAAAAAGACATTTAAGAACTATGAACAGCATGTTTGTAGATTTGTAAAACCTTGCCAACAAAGCATTGAAATAAGTTGAATCGAGAAAAAATGGTTTATTTCTTACATATAGATTCTAAAGTAAATTTTTGAAATCTACCTATTATTTTTCAAATTAAATCTTGTATGATACAGATTGTTTGTTACAAAAATTTGAACTTATCTCTTTTTACTAGTAGTTTATTTCAAATAATTTTAATTTAATTATAAATTTAATAGTCATGGACTTTTTTTAAAAGAATGATAGTAGGTACAGCTTTTTTTCCAAAACTGCTGTGGCAATACATAAACTTTAATGGTAATTTACTACAATTTTCTTGGAACTTTCATCCTCTAAACTCTTTAAATAATTGATAGTGTCATTAAAGCGTATGTTTATTTTCAGGATACAGTTTTTACGTCATATGAATGATTTTTTACAAGTAAAAATGAAACTTGAAACAGAAAAAAATGAAGATCTGCAGCTGGGTACACATAAAGTTTCCATAACATGTGTTGGGATAGGATTTACTAATATAAGTAGAGGTGTGCAATGAATGTTCCAATATGATTGGCTTTGTATATAGTTGCAATAAATTTTATTTTTTACTTTGATAAATAGCTTTATTTTCATTGGGTTTCAGTGTAATATTTTCTTAATTTAAATACAGTGGGGCCTTACTATAGTGAATTTATAATGCTCATATGCATCATCCGACTCAAGTCAGGTGAGATTGTTGGCTATTTCATATGGGTGGTATTCTTAAAGTGAGGCATTCGTATGAATCGCACGATGTTTGCTCGGTGAGGACGGGGGTTGTCATCTTTAAACCCCAATTCTGCTCCCACGGTATACCTGAATAAAAGAACGTGTTGTTTCAGAATGATGAGCTGATAAATTTGGCTTGCCATGTTTCCGATTTTAAACATGCGGATCCTTTCGGGAGCCCAGTATATTTTCAACCCAAACGAGCATTCCTGCACCACCGTAACGGTGTCATTTAATGATGCTGTTTTGGTGGTAACGGATACCTGGCGTTCTCCATATGAAAATCCGACGTGAATCAGACTGCAGCCTGGAATAAACCTGGATTTACCGGAAAACATCACACAAGCACTGTGATGGTGTTCATATTCTCTACTCCTGTCTAATTATTGACAACAGTGGGTTGCCTTAAGCGAAATACATTTTTGACAGGCCTGCGAGCATTCGGACAAATATTTCCCAAACGTCTGTATTCGGTTTGCCTTGAAAGCGTAGTACCCGTGGCTGTAGATAGCTGATGAGCCCAGTCTAATGCTGTTCTGCGTTTGCTTCTTTTAGCAGTTACTGCAAAATACCGATTTTTATTCGGCGCTGTAACTCAGAGCAACCTGTACTATAACGTCAACTGACATTTCCGTCATTTTGGAATCGTTACCAAAGCTTAGAGATGATAGTTTGAGCAATTCCAAATTCCTCAATTACTTCCATCTAAATACACCCATATTTCAGGCTGCTGGTAATTCTACCGCGTAAGAAATTATTCATAGGTGTCATGTGGGTACATTTCTGTAAGTCAATGCAAGTTTTATCGGAATGTTGTATTTAGGGGTAAAATGTTTTTTAGATACAAAAGTAAAATAAAATAAGAAATCTTGACATGAAATGTGCACTCTTCGCGGCGGAGTGCACCATTTAGTTCCGTCAGTTTAGATGTGGACTGCAGTATCGAAAAGGATAAACTTTTCCGTTGCGCACCTTTCTAAATCAAGCATCATTTAGCAATATTAACAGCTGGTAACAATAGCGGCGTCTATCTTTCAGTCCTTCTCGGGCAATGTGATTCTTTTGTTTGACCTTGATCGTCTTCCTAAGTTTCGATTTTATTATATTAAAAAAAAAGTGTGAGATGCAAAAAAAGGAAATAATAATTGATAAATATCACAATGGAAAAAGTTGATCAGATAACACCCACATCTTTATTAAACAAGGTATTTGATTGGTTAAAACAAAAAGAGCTTGTATTTGGAATTATTTAACTGCAGTTATACAGACATCGTAGCGTTTGTGACTTATATATACTTTTTAAATGGTGTACCATGGAATTAGAAATATTTCAACTTTTAGTATGCAAAGCCATGAAAATGGGTATCTGCGTATTAAAAAGAAGAAAAAAAAATCGAAATTGCCCAGTATTGATAATTAAAAAACCTTTTTGTTTTATCATAACAATGAAATGGGAAAGAAAGCAATGGTATTCTTATGAAGGGTTCCCGAGGGCCTTATAAATTTTAAAAAGGTGGTAACGAAAATGAAACAAAAGTTGAAAATTTAATTTTTGTGTAACCACCACTATCTACAAATTTTTTTTCGAAAAAAAGTATATATGCATGAAAATTAAAGCTTCTAAACTACTTAATGGCAAAATAAAATATTTAAATGAGATATATCTTTAAACAATAACATTAATTAACTACCATTACTAAAATTTCTCAAGGACCACGGGAGCCCTGTGATGTCCAGGGAAAAAACTTTATGAATCAAAATTAGAAAATAAGATATATTTAAAAATTCTTGGATGGTTTTTTGGTTTGGGCCCTAAAATGCAAAAGTTTTCTAATTGACACAAATGTTTTGTACATAAAACATGAAAATTAAATTATAGTATACGAAATTTGAAGAACAGAAAAAAAAAATTTACAAATTAAATTCGAGATTTTTTTTTCTTCAAAAATAAAGATGAACATATATTCTCAGCGATTCTATCCTAGGGATACTGCAGAAAGAGAATATTTTTTGTTAATACTGATTTAATTTAAAATCTTTATCACGGAAAGTGGTGTACCATGTGAACTTTTAAATAATTTACATGTAACTGTGTGGAAAATAACTTTTAATTAAATGTACAAAGTAAAGAATCATGCATCAAAACATAAACTTAGCTACTACCGGTAGAAATTTTCTAAAAAAGCGTAGTTACTTGGCAGCCCTGCATATATTAAATCTCAAACATTTGTATAACTTTTAACTATTTGAGAGAAATCTTTGGCCAAAAGCTGGAAGAGTTGACAGGTTTGACTTTACGTATCTAGGAAATGATATTAATGCTACATGTGAAATACAGATATAAGCCGTTAAAAAATTTAAACTAAGCTCTATATGCGATGGCTCAGGGGATAGAGCGTTCGCCTTCCAATCATGTGAACCGGGTTCGAATCCCGGCGTTGGCTGGGATACGAATTCCGCATCCGGCTCGCACCGACAGCAGTGATGACGTGAAATATCCTCAGTGGTAGACGGATCATGGGTTAGAGTCCTCTTGCCGTCAGGCTAACCGTGGTAGGTTCTCATGCTCTTCCTCTCCATGTAACGCAAATGCGGGTTAGCTCCATCAAAAAGTCCTCCACGAAGGCAAATTTCTCCCACTACTCGATCCAGGAATTCCCTTATCTTCTGGATTGGATTCAATATTACAAGGCTACGGCGTTGAACATTGGTAGTCGTAAACCCTCAACGCTGTCAGCTGTTCAACGACGGCTATAAAAAAAAACTCCTTAAAATATTAAAAAGTAATAAAAATTCAAGAATATTGGGTCAAGAATTTGGGAGAGATAATCGATCAGGGCCCCTACCATGAACTACTGGGAATGGAACTAAGATTCCCGCCTGGAATCGGAAGCCAGGGAAAGTTTGATTCCATGTCATCTCTAAATTGTGCCATGAACACTCACCGGGAATCAGACATTCCATGATTCTGGTTCTAAAGGCGTGTCTTGAATTTAACCAATCGCTGAATTTCTTCAATATTTATTTTCGTAATATGGCAACATTGTTTTAGCAACCGTGTGTTTGGAAATACTGATCCTCAATCTTTGTCCTGACGGTGCTGTGGAACTCAGTGCCGGATTAAGAGCCTTAGAGGCCCTAAGCACTTAAAAGATTTTCATGCTCCTTAAATGTAACTAAAAATATCAGCGTAAAAAATATTTATTTTCTTCAATAAAATTAAAGTAAGTATATAAAAAAAATTAATATCATTGCAAAATTAAATAGTTTTTGTAGAGAATCAATAATGGGAATCAAAATTTTTCAATTTACTCTTTGAAGAATTTTTAACGCTTACCACATATACTGGGACCTCTGAACTAAAATCAATTCTGGTGTTCGATTTTTTAAAAAAATTCCCTCATCTACAAAGAGAGAGAGGGGGGGATTAAATTTGGTGATAATCCTATCTCCAGCCTTTGTTCCCCTCTCTGTCTTTAGAAAGTGAGGTGTCTATCGTTTTTTGTTTTAGCAGTGGCAAACTCGAATTCTTCCTTTTTTTGCACTCACTTAAAAAGCGTGGCGTTTAAAATTTTATTTAGCATTTTAATGCAATTTTTTTTTAATACAAACAATTATTAATTACACTTAATTCATTAATTACAATCAATCAAAAATATTCTACATATTCAATGTGTTGAATACACTAATCAACACAGAAATCAAACTGTAAAAAGTTCTGAATTAATAATAAGTAAATTTTGTAATTGAATCATGATATGTTACTTCATTTTGATTTCACTTCTGAGAAAATTTACAACAGAAAGTGAATTTTGTATTTAAGTCATCGATTGCTTTATAACGCACAATATGCTTGCATTGAATACTAATTTTATTGTAAATTCACAAAAATTTGTATTTAAGTCATAGATTGGTAACAACAGCGCGATTGCTTTATAACGCATAATATGCTTGTATTGAATACTAATTTTATTGTAAATTCACAAATTGTCAGAGAAGAAGCTTAACGGAAAAAATTTATCAGTTTTATTTATTTATGTTTTTTATATTTTGTTTACATAAAACAAAAAATTTGCAAAGTTTGAGAGATATAGATCGAATAGTTTCTAAGTTAATAAAATATCAAAAGTAGTATATTTAAACCATTAGACCAATTTCATTTAAATTTTGTATTTTTTCATTCAAAATTACATATTTAATAATGTTATACCTTACAACTTCTCCCTTCATTGGATTAAATATATTATAATAATTATTATTTTACATGGAATTATATTCGAATAAAAGAATTTTGTAATTGTTTGCAAAAACTTTTTTGATTCACTCATCAAGTTCTCGAGATATAGCGAAATACACCAAAAGTGAAATTAAAATGAAGAGGTTCAAACTTTTAATCGCTCTCCTGTATAAATTATTGGGACAATATTTTCCAGATTGTGGATGATACCCCCCTCCCATATTTCAAGGGTCAGAATACCAAATTAGTCGAAAAAATTAAAAAAATATGTTTATTTTGAGAAAGAGCTTTTTGTGTTTGATTTCATAACGTTAAATATCATCAGCATTAATTAATTAACATATTTAATGTTAAGTCTTTGAACTATTAAGATTGAGTATGTGAAAATGCGATCATAAGATTAGATCAAAAGTTATTCTGAGCATTCACTTTTTATTTTGCTCACAGTATGTCAAATTCGATCATTTTAACGTGAGCTGGAGTATAACAACCTACTCCTCTTAAAAACAAATTATTTATTTCGTCAAAACAAAATTAAACTCTTATTACATCATAAAACATGTCAACTATTTCCACATTAATTTTGAAACTAAGGATATTTTTCAATTGACAA